GTGTTTAAAAGAAACTAACGTGTCGTGTTGTAGATTTAAAAATTTGTTGAGAACGTACTCTACTTCCTTACTTACTTACTTACTAATTAATTAACATTTACGTGGAACTAAAGTTTCAAACGGATGTTGATAAAATCAATTTATTGTCGTGTGCACCACAACTCTCTTTCTTTTTCTCTTTCTCTATTATACTCTTTTTTTCTGTTCTCTTAGCATCATCAACTCGGTAATACGAAATTGTTTGCTTTATTATCAAAGTGATACAACTTTAGATTTAAACCATACGCAAGCAATATAACAACGTTGAAAGTAAACTTATTGTTAGTTACATGACACCTAACATGCTACGTTACCGAGGAGTTGATGTTTCACGTTGCTAATAAGCTGTTATAAAACCGGACAAGTAAATGCAGTTGCTTGACAAAGTTGCAACAACATTTAAAATAACTACTTCTATCAAGTTTTCTATCTTTCTCTTTTTCTATCTTTTGTGTTACTTCCTTTTTCTAAATTTTCTCTCTCTCTCTCTCTCTTTATCTTTTAAAATTATATTATATACTGGACGATTATATGAAAGTGATTAAACGAAATTCATGAAACTTTTTATTTTTACAATAGACAAAGTTTTTCGTTCAATTGTGAATTTGTTTTATTATTTTTTTTTTTAATAGAAAATTGAGTTGCTTCGTTGGTCGATTCGATTAAAACCATTCATAAAATATAATTTAGACAAATTGGTGATATTATGTGTATTGCTTTCTTTTTTTTGTGTCATTTAGTTTATGTTAAAGTTAATTGTCAATGATATGTTATGTTATCAACATTAATCAAGTAATTTAATATATTAAAATTAACAAAAAAAAAAAATAAACATTTTTTCAATGGAATTAATCTCGGTTTGATCAATGAGAACTGATTTAATTAAATACCAACAAATAATTTTACACATATTTCATTTTTTATTGTTATTTATATCTGAAAGATCAACTTTTTCACAACAATAGTAATCAGCTTAACACGCTTTTGTGTAATAAAAAATTTATCAAAAACGAACAACGCACGCGTGAGACACGATCGCGAATAAAAATACGATATTTTTCGTAAATTCAAAAACTCTCTCTATTATAACAAAGGAAAAAGAAATACAAATAAAACGAAACGAAAAAAAAAAAGAAATAGGAAAAAACAAAGAGAAAGGGGAAAGAAGGACTTTGAAAAAAAAAAATTGACCAGTCACGATTTCGTACGAATACTAATGAAAATTTATAGTGATAAAACATGTTTGGTTACATTTAACAAATTTTTCAGGAAACACTTTTTTTTAAACCTTCTGTACACAATTTCTTTGAACGTCCGTGACTGCAAACCAAACACACAGAACAAACTTGGTCTTCAAACTTTTCCGATTAATGGAGCTCTTATTAAAGTATAAAATATTTTATAAGACCCTTTCTCTCTCTCTCTCTCTCTCTCTCACACACATACAAAACAAAATGAAATATTTACAAAAATTCAAGGATACGCGTAGGAACAAAAAAAATATCTTTTCACAAAAATGATATAATTTTAATCATAATTATATTATTTACAATTTAATATACGTATAGAAAAATTCGTGAAACCTTTATGAGAAAAAATTCCGTGGGATGCAGTTTGAAGACCCAACCCACGTCTCTAAAATAATTCAATTAAACACATAAGGATTTATTAAATAAATTTAACAATTGCATGTCATGTGTAGGTTTGAACATGTTTTATCACTGGTGTTATACAAATACGAACGAATCCATAGGATTCATGCACGAATATATAATAATGTCAGGAATCAAATAATTTAATATTTATATATACCTTTCATGCATACTATGTATACATTTCTATGTAAATATGTGTATTGTATTATACATTTGATATACATTACACGTTATACGCCGTAGATCTGCCATAAAAAAGCTTCTCTCTCTCTCTCTCTCTCTTTCTCTTTCTCTACGTTCTTTTTTATTTTTTTAAACATCACATTTGTTTTTCTGTTTTCTTGTGTAATCTTAAAACTTTGGGGACCTGTCACGAGTTAACTCATGTTAATAAAAAAAAAAAAAATGAAATAAGAAAAATAATATATATATTCTTTTTTTTTTTTTAACAAATATTAAGAGTTGAATGATAAATAAGATTTATTAAAATTTATTTCTATTGTTTTACTTTCACATCCGCTTTCAAAACAATAGCCTACCACATGAGGTAAATTTTCAGA